ATATATATAACACAACTTCTACTGTTTCTGAAATTAAAATAAGTCCAATTCAACGATTTGGGGCTTAGCCCTTAACTTAACTAAAGAATGGGCCAAAAGTTTTTGATAATTCGAGGTTTTAATATTTATATTTACACATTTAAATTTTTTCTCTTTTCAGTTTACAATATTTTTATAATTTTAAAATACGAACAATAGTCGTTACATAATCTTTAACTTTATGTTATTTTTTGTAATTTCAAATTCTGTAAGTAATTCGTGACTAAGTTATGTGGAAAATACGTGGGATTTTTATACTAACGAACCTTTTACATCGTATAAAACATAGACTTGCTCGTTTATAATATTGCTTTTTGTTGTTTTGTAGTATGATTATCTTACTTATACTTGCTAATAGAGTGAACTTTGCATACAGAAGGGACGGAATCTTGAACAAAACTGGTGGCTATTAGTAAGTTTGAATTCACTACTTAAATTGGACCTGCACATCAAAAATTAATGATTCTCTCAAATTCTTGTTAAAAAAATTTATATATTCAAATTTACGTATTCAATGAATACGAAGTGAACTTTGGTTCATGAGTGGTCTTGATTTTTTTCTTTATTGCATGGAATGGGAGTTCAACAGTTGACGATTTTTAAGTATGGGTCTCAAATTTGAAAGAAATCAATATGCTGGATTTTTCTTATCATATTCAAAATAATGCGTCACTTTTGCTTTTAAGTCATAAAAGAGTTTTGTTATTCAATTCATAAAAGAATTATGACCCATCAAGGTTTTGGTGCTCACAAAAAGATATAACTCAAGTTCAAGAATCCAGAACAAAGGACTAGAATTCAATATCATGGAAGACATTCTCATAAATTGTCATTCTCATAGAATGTATTCCCACTCATTTTTAAAGAATTACCGACGATTCTTTAAGAATTTCAGTATGAGAATAGATAATGTATTATTTTTTTTTTGTAGAATTTTATAGTTCAAGCTACATATTTTTAAAGAATGCTATATGTTCATCATTTTCATGTAGTTGAACCGACTTTGTGTGTGTGTGTGTGTGTGTATATATATATATATATATATATATATATATATATATATATATATATATACCAATTCTATAAGAATTTATTCACTTTACTTATTTATGTTTGTATTCTCAAAGAATATTGGAAATTCAATGTAGTATGTGTTCAACTGTTTTTGTCGATGCTGGAAAACAGAGGACTGAAACCAACGTATATTTTTAATAACGAAAGGTTAAAAAGAATGACGACCAACTTTTCAAGAATGATACATGGTTAAAATATGGCCAAGTTCCAGCAGAACTTAAATGGGTATGTGAAGGGTCTTCCAAATATTTGTGATTTTTTGTTTGAATTTCAAATGTGTTTCTAATTTGATGGATGGAACATGCTTAAAATATGGCCAAGTTCCAGCAGATCTTAATTTTGGGAATATGAGTAATGCCATGAACATCTTTGTCATTTACAAATCAAATTAGAGGCATTTTATGTTGATTGGTGTGTAATTCTATTTTTAAAGTTGAACATCAAGTTAATGAGATTTCTTGACCTTTTCTAGGTTAAGTGGAACATCTTAATTTACCCTTCTATTTTTAAACTTGAAAGTTCACAAATTGCAATTTTCTATTTACTTCAGTTTATGTGTGTGAAAGACCAATATACTTTAATTTTGTTCTATCTATTTCAGTATTTCACTTAGACGTGATCACGTGAATATCCCAGTAGTACTCTTCATTTTTATTAGTATGAAACGAATGTATAACATATGGTCCACATTGCACAGCATTTATGAACACAAATTTGAGATCTTCCAATTCCCCCAACACCTATAACCAAGTAGGCATTGCTTAGTTTATGATTTTTCACAAATCTCGAAATTTCAGATACAAGATACAGATATAGATATTTATTTCTATTTCATTCAATTGACACAACTTATTACAACCTAATCGACACCACCACCTCCGAACCACTCTTTTCAACCACAAACGTCTTCACAATCTTTTCACAAATCCCAACAATCTCCACCTCATAACTCCCTTCAAATCCCCGAAACCGAAATTCATTTTCCTCATCAATAAACCCATGAGCATGCGAAAGCCATTCCTTTTTAACCTCAATAAACCTCCTCCCAGCTTCATTAACCTCCCCTTCCGCATTAACCAAATGCGAATTCTCTCTACTCATAAACAACTCCCAAAACCCCCAAAACACAATCCCCTCAACACCCGGGTTCACAAAAGCTTCCCGCATCATAACCTCCAAATCATCCGCCCTCACATGCTCATTCACAGACGAAACATCGAGCTCCGTGAACCAAATCGGGAGTCCGGTTAGCCCCAATTTGTCAAGATTCGAGCCCACAATCGAACCCACCGGAGAATCAATGTGCCCTTGAACCCCGATTCCACCAACCGGTGCACCGTGTTCTTGAAGGTCAAAGATTTGGTCAATGTATTTCTCGGGTGACGATCTCGTGTCACACCCGTCTTCAACATGGTAATCATTCACAAATAAAACGGACGACGGGTCGAGTTTATTTGCAATTTTAAACATATTCGGTCTAATTTCGTTCCCTAATCGGTCACGGTAAAAAGACCCGTGAAGCATCTCGTTGTTTACATCATAATGTTTAAATTTACCTTTGTATCGGTTTAAAAGTCCGGTTAAACGATTATTTACAGCTATTGCTAGGTCGCTTTTACTTAGATTTTTTACCCAATTTTGGACCGTGTCTTCTACCTCCCAAAAGATACAGTGCCCACGAACGGGAATGTTGTTACGGTTACAAAATTCGAGAAGATCGTCAGCGTCTCGGTAGTTGAAATTGCCTTGTTGTGATTCGGTCCAATACCATTTAAGTTCGTTTCCAAACACGGCCCAATTGAAATGTTTTAGAAAAAACGAAACGAAATCTTCGTTGTCGATGTTTGATCTACTAATGCATGATCCGATTGGAAAACTATTTTGTATTTGTTTGATTATTACCATTTTTCCTTGCATATTGCTTTCATCCAAGTTTGAGAACTTTAGCGTGACGTCTTGTTTACGAATCTGTAAACAAAATGTACTTCTGCTCAGATAAACAAAAACATGACATGACATGACAGAACTGGTTGTACTTGTACTGTAAAGTAAACAGATTACCTTATCAGTTTGTTGTTTTAATTGTTTAAATCTTGCTTTGCGGTCAACGGGAAAGATTTGGAATCCGGCAAGCATAAAACTGATTCCGGGAGCGGGCCCTTGAACATAAACCATAATTTTTCCAAATTCCTTTTCGATTCGAAAAGAACCGCTTATTTCATGCCACCTGTCATCATTGACTTCAACTTGACCACCGTTGACCCACTGGTTATCCACACCAAGAGCCACATTTACATTATGGGACCCACTCGACCCATGACCCAATCGAACCCAAGCCGATACTTGGTACGTGACAAAAAGCTTAATTTTGTCCGTAATCATTTGGGCGGGACCCATCCAGGTCTGGGTCCGATTGGTTGCATGAATACCGTGTCCACTTAATGACTCATGTGGGCCCAGGGTGTCTCGAGCTGTTGGAGGGAGTACATGAGGGGACCCGGTTGTCACACCTAACGCACAATTCCCCAGAGGAAACCAACCGTTTGTTCCTTCACGAAGATCGCTGTTTGTAATAATATTAACTCCATAATCTACATTCTGAAAAACCACATAACAACGTAAGTACATTGCTACTATGGGTAAAAACAAAGTACATATTATGATATTATTAATATTTAATCAACCAACCTCGATATATGGTGGAGGTGAAGGGGGGTTTTTTTCAGCATGTTTAACCACCAAACTGTTTAGGAGAATATCAACGCCAGGTGGCGGGCCTTCAAGATATACCACTACCTTTGACGCGGAACCATTTAAAAGAAACTTTCCTTCCAACTGCATCCATTCCTTGTCTGTTGCTTGCGCACTTTTCAAAAAAAAAAAAAAAAAACAAATATTAGTTTCTGCAAAAGTTGTACTGGCCCCATAAGAGTCTGCTAAGTGGGCTGACATAAAAGTACAGTAGCCCAATCTACATTGGAATTAAAACTCTCACACTGTAGCAGCTGAGACTTTAACAGTTGGACTGTATATAAAAATAAAAGAAAAGAAACGAACGTGGCGATGCCGATATATTGTTCACGGGAATCGGGGGTTTGGACCCATAAAGTAGCTCGAATGTCGGCACTTGTGACATTATTGCCAAAGATTCTAACTGTAGCAATAACACTATAAGCAAGCTTTCGTTTAACTCTTCCACTAATATCTTGTTGAATTCCATTCCAATTTTGTGTGCGTTGTGTTGTTGATGCAAAATACTTTCCGAATTTTGGTACGATTTTGCCCTCGCCCATGGAGTCATGTCGAGCAATCGTACACCCTCTTCCAGACCAATTATTAACTCCATCTTCAAAGTTAGGGTTCAATATGATGTTTTCATCTTCAACAACATTACATCCTTCAACTATACCCTGTAAAAATTAATTATTTATTTACCTTTTATAAATATAAGATTATTATTGTCAAAGTGATTTAAAAGAAGGGTGAATTTACATGAGAAGTAGCACAAGTGACCACCAAGGATTCTATGAGAATGTTGACTCCTGGGGCAGGCCCTTCTAAATATAACACAACTCGGTCAGGCTTCTCGGGCAGCACAAATGTCCCCTCTAACTTCTCCCACCTCTCTTTGGAAACAGAAGTCCTAAAAAAAAAAATTATTCTTCTAGCAATCCCCAAAATTGTAAATCAGATATACAGGGCCCACTGAAATAAGTATTTACCTTGTGATTTGCATATACTTTGTTTCTGATCCATGATATTCAAGTTTAAGGGTGGCGATGACATCAGCATGGCTATGGAGATGGAGATGTGGATGTTCAGCCGAAACTCCAACATGTGCAATTAGTGTGTAAGTTAAACCTGGTGAAATTCTGGTTGTAATATCTTGTTCTAATCCTTGCCAAGTTTCTTTCCTGTTTGCAATTACTGCATAACGAGTGGATTGTTTTTCAACCACAACGCCATCACAAGAGTTTGTGTACCATGAATGCAAGCCATTAGAGAAATCATGATTTTGTATGATGTTGGTTGACGTGACACTGCTGCTAGCCATGTTCCAGTCCTTCGATTTCTGTAAATTAAGCAATGTTAGTCTTTGTGGAATCAAATCACTTCGAAAATGACGACATACCCATAACAGATGGATTATGAGAAAGGGGTGGGGGAGAAAAGCAACGAAAAACCTCATCAACCAACAATGAAAGTAGGCGATATCTATGAGGAATTAACACAAACACCTGGTGGGCGAAACTGATGGCTGATGGGTTCTTCATAGTTTTATTGTTTCAATCTCTTATAAAAATTAAGCACATTTATTAAGAAACTGAAACGCCTAATGCGAAATTAAAATCAACAGAGAGGTTTACCTGCGATCTGTGGAGCTTTGTGTGATCTTTCAAGAGTGTGAGCCAACCTCCCGACTTCTTTCCCATTTATATGAGCAGGTAAAAGTGAACGTTACGAAAATACCCAACAACCAATGGAGTTCTAATTTCTTTAAGCGATTTACAAAAGTTTCCAGAAAGAAAAAAAAGGGGGATTTGTGAATAGAATAGTTGATGGGGGGTTTCTTTGTCTTGCAGATTGGGTTATAGGGTTGAACCCTAGCTAAGATTAGTGCATGCTTGAATTGAAATAGAAGATTTGATTTCAAATAAGGTTCTTTGATCAGATTCAGGACTTGGTCTGAAAGCCAAACCATGGCTGATAGCGCGTTAACGAGTTGAATTTGAAGGATTCGGTAAACTATGGCTTTCCTTCTTTTTCTTTGCATTTTCTTATGTGGTGAAGTATACTTTTTTAAAGGGCGGTGATATTTTCACTTGTATATTTGATACTTCCACTTAAAATCAAATTGCTTTTACATTTTTATATTTATTTAAAATTTACAAAAATATGGAAATAGATAAGAATCCCAATAATCAAGTCAATACCATCCTTCTTTCCAAACATCGACCCAAACAAAAATATGGAAATAGATATGAAGTCGTAGCATATTTTTGAATGGTTTTATGCAATGTTTTAAAACCCGGGTCGACCCGGCCGGTTCAACCGGTTGGACCGTGACCCGGGGTAGAAGGCAGGTCAATTGAGAGCGGTTTTTTTGTAAAAATACGGACCGGATCGAACCGACCGGGTTTCCCCTAAACCGCGGTTCAACCGCTTATGTCGAACCGGTTAAAACCGGATTGACCCGTTTTAATAAGGCTTTGATAGTTGGATACAAGTAGCGAACGCCAAAACAACGAGCCGTTTGTGATTTCTTCAATGTTTTTCAATGTTTAAACTTTATGGACATCAAATTATTGGTTATATATGTTTATGCATTATGCCGGAAAGTAAAAATATATAAAAATAGAAAAATACCATAAAACGGGTTGACCCGGCAGTTCAATCGGTTGAACCGGTTAACCCGTGAATCGGTCATCACACCGGGTTTTAAAACATTGGTTTTATGGTTAACAGAGTTTTATATTCTAAAATGACGTTAACTTGAATGCATTCGAATAATGGGTTTGTTTGATGAATAATAAAAACACAAATTGATTTTTATAAGCGATAAAAAAAGGGAAAAAAAAGAAAAGATTGAATCATGGTTGAATCTTCTCTAATAAATGATGGTTCTTTTTGCCACATGTCATCTTCTCTTTCATTTTGACACTTGTCATTTTGTGAGAGTTTTAGAATTTTTATTTTCCACTTGTCATTTTTTAGGGATTTCCATTTTCTTAAAATAAAATTCCATAAAATTGCAATGGGTTTTATAAGGAAATAAAATCATCTTATTGATTTGATAATAAATTCTCATAAATCCTCCAAATGATTTAATTTCTTTTGCAAATGTTCCAAAAGATTACATTCTGTTATGTAAATTATTACTTTATAAAATATTTCATGTTTATATATTGATATTAAATTTTTATTTTTAATAAATCCGTGTAATACATGGGTCTCACACCTACTGTTTTAATAGATAAGAAGCGGCACATGTTATTTATTTATAACTCTTCATTTTTTTTAAACTTTAAATAAGGGTAAAAATGTCAAAACAATTTATTTTAAGTGGAAAAATCATATATACAAGTGGAAATATCAATACCTTTTTTTAAAGATTAAATTTAGGATGTTTTAGCATAAATGTTTTTTTTTTCATGTCATACCATATATAATATAAAATAAATATATAATGGTTTATACTTTACAAAGAAAAAAAATGGATGCTCGAATTTATGAATTATGACCACCTATAATAAACTGAGAAATGTTTTTTTAACTAAACAAAAACATGCTACACATGTTTCATCAAATGGCAAAAGAAACACGCTTAAGAAAGCCTCAAATTGTATGTCTCACATAACACAAGTTCGTTTAAGAAATACATAACATAACATAAACATTTTATACTCCATATATCCAAAACCCAAATATTTTAGGGCGAATTGAATGGCTTCCAAATGGTAAGGTATGATATTATCCAAAAATAAAAAACGTTAACCTCCTGTACTTCTAATACTTTTACAGTTTACTATGAAATTAACCCTCCAACATAGTGAGAAAGTCCGCAAAATATTTTCGTGTAAAGGATGATAGCATGAGCAGGAAACATAGACAATCAACATGAAAAGTTGCAGCATCGGACTGGAGTGTTGAATATTATCATGAGGATAGTCGATTTGAAGTCACGTTGAAGGTCGATTAGCGTGCTTGAAGAATGTTTGATAAAGCCCATCCTGGAGTCACGTTAACGAGTTATGCTAAGATACATGCATGCATCAAGTGTAGTGCATGTAGAAGGTGATGGAGGAGAAATACTTGTATATATTACGAAATGAAAAGTCAAATGAATCTTCTAGAAATAGAATTAACGAAACACAATTACACTAAGCTCTAAAGGAAATAGCGAACTAACAAACTATCTACCACTATTTACAATCTAGCCCTTCTACAATCTTTAATTACATAATAACCCTCTAACTTCTAATATTCCCCTTCAAATTGGTGTTGGAGAAACTGGATTCTTCAAACCCAATTTGCTAATGAAAGGCTGTAATTTGGAATGTGGTAAAGGCTTAGTGAACATGTCTGCAAGTTGAAAAGCTTATCTGATTGGAAGTAACCTAATTGATTTATCTTCTACCTTTTCTCGTACGAAGTGATAGTCAACTTCTATGTGCTTAGTGCGTTCATGAAATAAAGGATTTGTTGCTATTAGAATGGATGCATCATTATCACAAAATAGCAATATAGAATCAGCAGAACTAACATTAAAATCCTTTAGCAATTGTTTTAGCCAAATTAATTTAGAAGTAGTGGTAGCCATAGCCCTGTACTCGACTTTAGCCGATGATCTGGAAACAGTTGGTTGTTTCTATGTCTTCCATGAGATTAGAGAATTGCCCAAAAACACACAAAAACCAGTAACAGATCTCCTTGTATCCTGACATGTAGCCCACTCTGAATCACAAAATCCTTTTAATTGTAAAGAAGAATCCTGTGAGAAAAATAATCCTTGTCATGGGGCTTTCTTTAAGTATTTCAACAGATGGATAGCAGCTTCACAATGAGGAAGACGAGGTTTAGACATAAATTGGGATAATCTTTGTACAGCAAAAGATATATCAGGGTGTGTAATGTTCAGATAAATCAATCTACCAACAAGTCTTATATATTTAGATTGATCAGAAAATTCTTCCCCATACTTGTCATTAAGAACAACACTCAGATCCATGGGAGTATCTTTTGGTTTAGTTGCAAGAAACCCTGCATCTTCAAGTAGTTGAAGAATATAATTTCTTTGAGATACGAAAATACCCTATTTGGATCTTGCTATTTCCATACCCAAAAAATAGCCTAAAGAACCCAAATCTTTCAGCTTGAATTTTTTACTCAATTGTTGCTTTAAATAATCCCTTCTTTATATGGACCTGTAATTATGATATCATCAACATATACAAGTAATGCCACATATTTTTCTCCTAATCCTTTATTAAACAAAGAATAATCATATTTTGATTAAGTATAACCCAAAACTTTCATAAATGTTGAAAACTTATCAAACCACTGTCGGGAAGCTTGCTTTAAGCCATAAATGGACTTGTTCAACTTACAAACAAGTCTACTTTCAGAAAATTCCCCCTTAAGATCAAGACCAGGTGGAATATCCATGAACTATGATTAACTGTTTCAGTAGAAGGAGGTTCAGGCAAAGATTCATCAACAAATCATGCCTTGTTCTTAATTGATAGAAGTAATCAACATAGATCTACTCCATGAAGAATAGTTCTCACCAATCTGTGGTTGAGAAACTAGGATGAATCCTAGATTATCCGAATGATGAATGTAATACGGAGACAATTGATCATCAATCGGTGAAGATGAAGATTCAGACATGATAAAATCAAAGAAGAAAATGAAGAATCAAAGATGATGACGAACACTGAAAAATCGGAAGCTGTCTTCGCTTTGATACCATATTACGAAATGAAAAGTGAAATGAATTTTCTCGAAATTGAATTAACGAAACACAATTACACTTGTACACAAAGCTCTGAAGTAAATAGCGAACTAATAAACTATCTACCAGTATTTACAATCTAGCCCTTCTACAATCTTTAAATTACATAATAACCCTCTAACTTCTAATAAACACTAATTTTTTAGATAAGGGAAAGAAATATGCATGTCTTAGCATCTTTAACGTGTGTGTGAGCATTCTAAGTTCTTTAATAAAGAATTTTATCATTTGTTCATCCAATAGCTTGGTAAAAACGTCAACTAACTGATTTGTTGTGGGAACAAACAATTGCTCAAAATTTCATTTGTGTACATTATCTCGAATGAAATTTCTAATATCGATATACTTTGCATTCGAATGTTGTACTAGATTATGAGTGATTTGGATTGCACTTGTGTTTTCACAATAGATTGGGAGTCTTTGTTAGCTGAAGCTAAATCCAGTTTTAGATACAAAGGATTTGAGCACAACATCTTCCAATTGCAACATACTTATCTTCCTCACCGAAACATATAACGAATGTTTATTCCTTCTGTGAATAATATTGAGCATCATATGGGACTTCATAGCATATGGCTCATCAAGGAACATAAGTGGCGCATCCTTGCAACAAGATGGTGCATCAACATGAGAATGGCGCTTCTTATGCAAGGAATGACACTTCTTCTCAATGGATGTGCTTTCTCTTTATGAGTAGTACTGCTAGAACCATAGTGGTGCTTCTTCCTCCAGAATGGCGCTTCTACCTCTAGAATGGAATATCTAGACAATGAGTGGCACTTCCACATTATGGATGGCGCTTCTACATCCATAATGGTGCTTATAGAATAGAGCTTCAAGCATAGATGGTGCATCCATGCACCAGGATGCTCCATTTCACTTTCCATGTGCTCCATACCACCTTTTAGAAGATTTGTTCCTTTGTCACTTTATCTATTCCTTTGTCACTTTATTTTTTCCTTTGTCAGGAGATCTATTCCTTTCTTAGATGATTCGTTCCTTTGTCACATGCTCCATAAAACCCAAGTGCTCCATTGAGTTCCAAGTGCTCCAAATGCTCCATGTGAATGCTCCAAATGCTCGAGTCACATTTAACAATCTTCACCTTGACTTGAGCATCCTCTGAAATCCACCTTAAATAGGAACTTCCTCTCACTTCCTACCATCAAGCCCCAAATGGGCTTACCTCCTGCGAACATCAACCAAGTCCATGCAAAGCTTGAACTTTTCCATGGGCAACGAATTTGTTAACATGTCTACTGGATTCACCTTGGTATCAATCTTCAGAATTGAGAATTTGTCT